TAATCCTGACAAAGGCGGACTTGCGTCGCCAGCCAATACTACATCTAAATATGTCCAGTCGAGTCCATATACCATTGATTTTCGTTGCCATATTGAAAAGACGCTTGGCTCTCGAACGGAACAAATTACTCGAGTTAGCTCATCGTCACATCCGATTGAAATTGATCTTGTTCAGCAAGATGCTTATATTGTAACATTTACACAACAAAGTACTCATTTAGATCGAGATATTCTAATTAATATTGAACTTTCCAGTCAACGAAGTAGCACTATTATGGCTGTTGAACCTGGTGCAATAATGGCTGCATTCGTTCCAACCGAAGAAGAATGTCATCAAGCATCAAAAAATGATTTAACAAATGAATTTATTTTTGTTGTCGATTGTAGTGGATCGATGCAGGATGAAAACAAAATCGGATTGGCTCGACAAGCAATGTTACTCTTCCTCAAAAGTTTACCTGTTGATTGTCATTTCAATATCATTCGATTTGGTTCTGAATACAAAACTCTATTCAATGAGAACACGGTAGTTTATAACGAAACCAATGCACAACAAGCCGAACAATTTATTGAACGACTGCAAGCAGATCTCGGTGGTACTGAATTGGTGAGTTTTATCTTTTTAACTGTAGCCTCTTCTTATATATATATGCGTAGTTAGGACCTATGCGATGGATTGAACAACATTCGCCTAGTCTAAGTTGTGCTCGTCAAGTATTTCTTTTGACAGATGGTGAAATTTCTAACGTAACAGAAGTACTTGATCTATGTCGTTCAATGGCCACATCGACTCGTATATTTTCATTTGGTCTAGGACAATCACCAAGTCGATCATTAGTAAAAGGTCTCGCTCGTGCAACCAATGGTCGATTTGTTTTCATTCCACCAAATGCCAGTGTTGATCTATACGTTGGAGAACAATTACAAAAAGCACTTCAACCATGTATTACCAATGTGCACGTTAAATGGAACCTTGGAGTTTCATTTCAGAGTGCGCCAACTTACCTACCACCAGTCTATGCCAACGATCGTCTGATTGTCTATGCTCTGGTCGACGATAAAACTATTCCTTTTGATCATAATTCATCTGTCGAATTACAATCCGAGTGTGATCATCGNTCAAGTTCTCGACTTATTGCTTCCAATATGGGTGTGGGTGAGATTGGGTGAGGTTGGGTGAAAAATTTTTTTCTCATTGAAATCGGTAGAGCTGCTTGAGCTATTTGTGAAACAAGTGTTGGAATGGTAGTTGGTAACAAAGAAACGAATCTGTACTGGTTTTCTTGAAATTTTTATGTTTTTACATCATCGAAATTCAGTTTCACGTAGGGAATTTTTGCGAAGAGATTTTTCTTCGAAGAGAAAATATGTCATCCGGTGGACATGAACATAACAGACATATTCCTAAAAAAAATTGGTTTTTAAAACGATTTGTTCAAATACGGGACTTGGCAAGAATTACTTTTGGCACTGAGCCGAAAATGCATTAAAAACCGGTTTTTTCAAATTTTGAAATTATTATAACTTGGCCAAAGAGCATCGGACCCGCGAAATATTTTAGCCCTGGACCCTTGGGGGTCTACCCTACAAACTGACAAAATTTGAGGGTAGGTTGTAGGATAGACTCCCTCCCCCTTAATTTTTATGAATTTCTCTTTTCTTTTATCAAGAATATTGATTTATATTTTAGAATACTAGGATAACGTGAACAAATATAGAAAAACAAAAAAAAGATATATTCACTTATTTTGTTGCAAATATCTAGATTAATGAACTAATAATCATAGCTCTATTGCTTTAATATATTAGATCACTTTTAATCCTTTTTAAAGTGACGAAAAAATGCATATTTTTATTTTAGATTTCTTCATATTACGAAACTGAATAAGTACATATAGATGTTTGTTTTAGACTACTTAACAACTGTTTATCGAATAATAACTTTGACGCATTAATATTTGATCATAGATCAGACGTATCGAGACAAAATCTTATTTATCGCTCAATTGTTCCACTCCGTAGCTAACGATTAAAAATTTATTATCTAATTTATATAGTAAAATTCTATTGAAGTTTATTTACGAATGGTTTATGTATCATTGTTACAAATATGGATGAGAAAATATGTTAAAAACTTATATTTCTCCTAAAGTCAATTCTTTCTAACTTTGTACTTTCTGTCGAAAAAGCAACTAATCAATATCAACGATTCTCTCCTTAGTTTTAATATGCATTTTTCGATGATACTAATGATTGTTATCGAATGAAACAAGAACTATCTCGTAGTGATCGATTTGAAAGAGGTACTAAGAGCAGTGACAACTATCTAATCATATTATTTACCGCGTGGTGCTTCTGTTGTTGAAAGTGATGTTGTTGATGTTGGAAATATAGTAAGATCTAATTAGGAAAACAATCAATTTTGCATAAATTAAAAAGTTTAGAATGAATATTGGATTTAGATTTAACTGATACTTTGTTGTGTCTCTTATCATATTTTTTCATAATAGGATAAAATTCATTCTGCTAGAATTATATTGAGACATCCACAATTTGTTCGTGTTCAAAGGAGAATTTAATCTTTCTCTGTTCCTTCTAGTTCTCCGATTCCTCAAGCTGGATAAATAGAACAGTTTTCTTCTACTTCTACTTAAACATCTCTAATTACAGTCTCAGATTGATTCTCGTATTCACTTCAAAATTTCAATTGGAAATTACTGAACTATTTTATCTATGTATCATTCTATTGAATACAAACCAAGTGGATATCGTGTTCCAACAATTGTAATCATTGTTACCACATTCATTTCATATGACATATTTCCATTTTGATTTAATGAATTATTAAATAATTGACATTGAAAATTTGTTCTATAAAAAGTAATTGCTATGCATTGATTCTGATTTAAACACTCGATTTGACATCGAAGAACATCTGATGTTGTAAGATTATAAAATGGTAAACAAGTTGATTGTGCACATTGAAATATTTTATCATTGATTGTTGACATTTGAACAGATCGAATATTATCGGCTGTCATCTGTATAATAAACATCGACAAGAGTAGTAGGCAAACATTTTTTAAACTCATCTTCAAAGTAATTATTAAATGGTCGAAATATATAAAACTAAAAAGAATATATCGTATTGTACTTTCTCTCTTTTCTATATTTATTCCATTAGTTAATTGAGAAACTATATATCTATGACTTTCTTCTATAGTAGACATGTGTTGTATATGCGAGCAATGCAAAGAGAAGGAGTGAGAAAAAGAATAAAAACAGTTTTATCATTGCATACACTTTCTCTATTGAAAATCGTCACAATTTTCCTAAAGAAAATTTATCGTTTGAATGTAAAAGAAAAATAAAGATTTCGATTTATTTTTGTAAATGCTTCATTTTCATAGATTGAAATACCATTTTATTGGTTTTTCGTTATAATAATAAAAGACTATCAGGTATATCAAAAGTTTTGTGATATTTGTTATTTTGTTCATATTTTAACTTGAGAAAATCTTGATTTTTCTTTTAGATAATAGAGCGAGCAAAGCTATACAAAACAACGCATAAAAGGATCTTTATTTTCTGTTTCAGACAATTTTCTTATGACCTCTCTTAAGTATCTATAAAGTGCTATGATGTCTCATTGCAAGCAGATGAACGGGAATATACGGGAGCTACTTTCACGTTGTTTTTTTACGAATTTGTCCACATAGTAAGTGTAGAGCTTTTGACGGCATATTTTTGAAAAAAATTCAACTATTATTATTATTTGTTTAAATCATTGAAAGTGTAAAACACTCAGGTCGACCAATCCCATACTCGGATCCGAAAGACGGATTTCATGGATTCCTAGGGTCCTTATAGAAGATAGCTAAAAAGAACGCTCATAAAACTTGTAATAGATGACGGAATTTTTACCGACGGACTCCAATGCAATTCCGTCACTGGGGATCCTATAGGAACCTATCAGAACCGTTATCGGCTTTGTCGACCTGGGCAAACAAAATCATCATAAATGAGACGTTACAGGACTATATCTCGAAAATAAAAGTAAGATACAGCCTAAAAATAGGACTGCCAATAGTGAAAATGTTGATTTCAAGAATGAGGAGATCGGTAGCAGTTGATATACGTAATTTTTTGGGATATTTTCAAAATAACTTTCCATGGCGCAACTTTTAAAAAAAGAATTAAGTAAATATTATTTTCCAATATTAAAATAAAAATTGTACAAGCAGTTTTATTGTGCGGGGACATCGTAGCACTTTATAGATACTTAAGAGAGGTCATAAGAAAATTATCTGAAACAAAAAAGAAAGATCCTTTTATGTGTTGCTTTGTATAGCTTTGCTCGCTCTATTATCTAAAAGAAAAATCAAGATTTTCTCAAGTTAAAATATGAACAAAATAACAAATATCACAAAACTTTTGATATACTCAGTAGATCAAGACAAAANAGGAGATCGGTAGCAGTTGATATACGTAATTTTTTGGGATATTTTCAAAATAACTTTCCATGGCGCAACTTTTAAAAAAAGAATTAAGTAAATATTAGTTTCCAATATTAAAATAAAAATTGTACAAGCAGTTTTATTGTGCGGGGGGACATCGTAGCACTTTATAGATACTTAAGAGAGGTCATAAGAAAATTATCTGAAACAAAAAAGAAAGATCCTTTTATGTGTTGCTTTGTATAGCTTTGCTCGCTCTATTATCTAAAAGAAAAATCAAGATTTTCTCAAGTTAAAATATGAACAAAATAACAAATATCACAAAACTTTTGATATACTCAGTAGATCAAGACAAAAAAAACGAATGACAAGTAAAAGATAAAGATAAGAAAAATCTTTAAAAGAAATTCAAATGTACGTATTAATTAAATGAAAAGTTCAAAAACAAAACAAATTTTATGAAACAACAATTGAATAGTTCTAAGTAACCTATATAAAAAGAAATGTTCTTTATAAATATTCGTTTCTTTTTTTAACCGAGATCTTTCCATTTTATAATAACCATTATTTGGCTCCAGTCCTGCTTATTCACCTTAGAAAATCGTTGAAGGACATCGAATATTATGTGCCTAGTTAATTATAATGATGGAAACCGTTGAGCATCAAACTTGACAAACTAAAAGAATTTGCATTGACAACAATTTTTTTAGTGAAATTATATTGGCATTTAGAAAGAGAGAGAGAAAAGAAATAATAAAACTGAAAGACTTCATATGAGTTATTAGAAACTATATCAGTATGAAGATTGAATCTTTACTGAAATAGTTCAGATTTTATATAAGTAGAGCACTTCTCTTCAAGAAAGAGATCGCTAGTGGCTTAATAAAATTCTTCGTTTTACAATTCAATATCAAATTATAGCTTTTCAAAATTATTTTTCTATTAAATTTCGATGGTTAAACAAAGCTAATGAATGTGAGAACTAGTGAAATAAACAAAATGAAATATTTCATGAGAAATAGTCAAGGCATGATTACTTGTATTTATATATTTAGATACAAATGATAAAAATTAAATGTGTATAGTATATAATAGTAAAAATAATTAAAAGAACAAAAACGACAAATAAAGATTGATATTGTTGATCATTTTTAAGAAAAGTTCGATTCATATTTGTTTCTTTTCGAAGATGTAATTAATTGTATGGCTTTTTTTAGCAATATGAAAAGAGTCTTGAATGAAATTACTGATAAAAGGAAGAAAAAAAGTGCAATAGAGAATTACATAATATATGAAAGTTAGTAACGACGCATCGTATTTATTTTTGCGTTAAATCGGTGTGAAGCTAGCACGAACAAACGGTGCTACCTGAAAACTTTTTGACTAAGTATGTCTCGTCCATGAAAATTATACCATTCGACTCAGAATTTTATTCTACATCGAATGGTGGTACTTTTATTCACCGGACAAACTTTGGAAAAATTCGTTCTGGATTTTAAATAGACCTAAAGGAAATGAACAAAGATGTAGATAAAAATTTTTCCCAAGTTTGTCCGGTGCATAAAAGTACCACCATTCGATGCAGAATTAAATTCTGAGTCGAATAGTGTAGTTTTCATGGACGGGACATACTTAGTAAAAACGTTTTTAGGTAACACACCGTTTGTTCGTGCTAGCTTCACACCGTCACTAGGCTTCTAAACTACGGAGTCCTCGTTATCCTTCTTTCAGCAAACATTTTTCCTCATTATAGAGAAGAAACTATTCTACAGATTATAAGGAGAGAACGTATAATCGCAAACGCTGAACCTAACGACAAAGCTTTCCTCCGTATCATATTTTTTTGCAGTATATATTTATTTATCACTTGTTAATATTGTACTACGTAGACATAGAGCAACCAATAAAATTAAAACGATATTATGCAAAATAAAGTGAACTATTGCAGGACAATGCGAGTACCAACAGTTGAATTACGAATATTTTTACGACGTTCACAAAATTCCATGTAAATTTTATCTACAGAATTATCTTAATTTGACACTATCTTTCGATGTCAAAAAGTAAATCGTTTTCATTTATTACCGAAATGTAAAATAGAGCTCTTTCCCTTCTAGTTTTTAATGGCGTGAGCATTGTTTCAACGGATACGAAAATGAAGTTATATGTTAAAGTTTTGAGAAGTTTATAGAGTGAGAAGAGACTACGACATATTATAGTTTGTAAGAATCTTCGCGATGTCTAAATCGTCTTATTCGCGTCGTATAGACAGAGTCAATAATCATCAAATCAACAAGTTTGCAGAAGAATATCGGAACTGTCACTAGCAGCATTTCCAACGGCAAAGTCCAATTTGTGATCATCATTAAAACCAGCAACGATGACTGAAAATGGTTGAGATCCATATTCTAATGGGAAAATAATCATATTTTCAAATGTTCCATCATTTCTTCCAAGAAAGATGCCCAAAGTGTTACTACCAGAATTACTAACTACAATATCTAATTTCGTATCATTATTAAAATCATTGACAACAATTGAACTTGGAAACGAATTGGAACCTGTCGAATAAACTCTTTGATTGGAAAACGAACCATTTTTATTGCCTAACAAGATGCTTATAGTAGATGTATCATAATTCGCTATTACGATGTCCACGTAATTATCACTGTTAAAATCAGCACTTGTTAAAGAATTGTGAGAAGAATATGATTCAATGGAATAACTTATTTCCTTATCAAAAGACAGATTACCATAACCAAGAAAGATACTCACAGTATGCGTGTTAGAATTTGTTAGAGCAATATCTTGATGTGTATCATTATTAAAATCATTGATAATAAGTGCTTGAACATGAGAATCATTGGTTGTTGTAAATATTGTTTGTTTAACATAAACGTCTTTATCAATTCCAAAAAGAACACTAATGTAGGGAGTCTCCGATTCTGTAACAACTATATCAAGTTTAGAATCGTGATTGAAATCAACAACAGTTATACTCCATGGACGAGTACCAAATGAATATCTTCTTTCATTTTCAAAATATCCATCACCAATGCCAAAAAAAAAAAGAACACTTACATCATTGCCAGCCCAGTTACTAACTACTAAATCGATTACAAAGTCATTATTTATATCAATTGCTATCACCGATAATGGATTATAGCCAACGGAATATTTTGATCGAGTAATAAAAGATCCGTTGATGGTTGCAAGAAATACAATTATATGATTAGTCTCCGGATCGATACCAATTAGATCTAGTCGTGTATCATTGTTTACATCAAAAGGGAATATGTAAGCTATGACTAATCCAACAGCATATATAGTTTGATTGGTAAACGAGTCGTTTTCAAATTGAAGGAAAAGATCTATTTTAATGCTCTTATAAACAAAAATGAGATCCGATCGATGATCGTTATCGAGGTCAATAATTTGTGCTCTAAATGGAACATTGTCGACAGAATATTCGAATTTGTTGATAATCGATCCATTTTCAGATCTGAGAAAGATATTTATGCTTGTATTTCTAATATGTGTGGTAACAATATCTGGAATAGAATCACCATTAATGTCTCCAATCAAAACATCACGCGCTTGGCTACCAATATTATAGTTTGTTTCGTTCGAAAATGAACCATTTTTGTTGCCAAAAATAATAGTTACATAATCTTTATCATAATTACGCAGAAGAATATCTATTACAGTATCATTGTTAAAATCATCATTATACACTTCATCTGACCTATAGTCGACGGATTGAGATCGTATCGGATCAGCAAAAGAACCATTCCCAAAGCCAAAAAGTACAGAAATATCTCTGCCAGCGCTATTAGTGGAAATAATATCTAATATTAAATCTTTATTGATATCTGCAATTATAATATATCGTCCAATGAATTGAGATAAATATTTGACTGGATTTGAGAAGCTGTGATTATTTTCTCCAAGAAATACATAGAAGTAACTGTCATCTTGAGGAGAAACCAATAAATCGAGATAACTGTCATTATTAAAATCGTAAAAATATAAATTGCCATATGATCGATTATTTACTATATAGTGTCCTTGATTGGTAAATTCCCTACTCTCTTTCAAATAAATAACATCGACATCTGTTCTATCATCATATACAGCAATAATTTCTGATCGTCCATCATTATTAAGAGACGGTCCACGAAAATATCGAACTTTGCGAAAACATGGGGGTCAACCGATTTTGGATTTGACCCCATAGGAACTTAGGCATTATTGACCTATATATAAATTTAAAATATTACGCTCTAAAGATTTACTTTAAGAAAGTTAGGGTATAGTGNATTTTATTGAAAAGATATCCTCGATTATATTGAAGCAATACGTCTATACGACCGTTTATGACAGTCGTTCCAATAACAATTAAATCCAGCTTTGAGTCGTTATTATAATCATTCAAAGTTATATAAATTGGATGAGAATTGATATTCTGTATAAATTGATCTGCGAAGCTGCCATCACCATATCCAAAAAGAATGCTTATGTCAGAGCTACTACTACTCATAACTACGATGTCTAATATATTATCATTATTAACATCGGCAATGATTGGTTGCCTTGGAACAGAACCGAATGCATATGTTGCTCGATTTACAAAGGATACATTTCCAATTCCTAGTAAAACTGTCATGTCATTAGTAGCCAAGTTAATAACTATTATATCCAATATTGTGTCGTTATTTAAATCATCAATTTTTATATAAAATGGACGAGCGCCAACCTCAAATGTTGCTATATCTAAGAATGAACAATTTCCAAGTCCAAGAAGAATTTTTATACTTTGGTAATTCACTGAAACTACGATATCTAATATTGAATCTTTATTCAGGTCAGCAATTGCTATTGCTTCCGTACCTGGAAGAGGTTGGTACAATAACTGATTTGCTACAGAACCATTGCCATATCCCAGTAAAATACTCATATCCTGACTACCAGAATTGAGAACAACTATATCTGAATAATTGTCGTTATTAATGTCAATAACGACTAAACCAGTTGAATAACTACCAACTTTATATGTTGATACAAAACTCAAAGATCCATTTCCTAATCCAAGAAAAATGCTGACATAGTTATCCTGTCCGTTAAGTACAACAACATCCATAAAATGATCATTATTCAAATCTGCAACAGCTAATTCAGATGAGTAACGGCCAACAATATATGATAATTTAGAAAAAATAAAACCATATTCATCTCTAAGATAAATACTAATTTTATCATTATTAAAATCATTCATGATCATGTCCAAATGATTATCGTTGTTCAAGTCACAAGTAATTGCATACGCTGGATTGAAATCGATCGAATACGATGTTGACATATAAAATCCTTCGAATTTACCGATCATAATGTCTAAAGAACCAGTATCATTATTTACCATAACAATGTCATTTCGATTATCTTTATTAATATCANACTCAATTTGAACAAAGGAAAGGATGTATGAAAAAAATTCGAAACACGAAAAACCTCGACTTCGGTCATTTTTGACATTTTTTTTTTCGGTGAAATCGTTCACTATACCCTAACTTTCTTAAAGTAAATCTTTAGAGCGTAATATTTTAAATTTATATATAGGTCAATAATGCCTAAGTTCCTATGGGGTCAAATCCAAAATCGGTTGACCCCCATGTTTTGGCCTATATGGAAAAAGTTCGATATTCTCGTGGACCGTCTCTTAAGATCGTTAGCAGTAATAATAGATGGAGTTGAATTAAAAACAATATCCTTAATTGTAGCAGTATACTTTATTTCTTGGCCATCGTTGTTTAATATATGTAAGTTTTTACTATCATAATTGAACACAGCGATATCCAATTGTTTATCACCATCATAATCATTAATAGTAACAGATGATGGATGAGAATTTAAACCGGTATCAATTATCGTTTGTTTATTAAATGTACCATTTCCGTGTCCAAATAAGAGACCAATATTATTTGAACCATAATTAGCAGCAATAATATCGAGATGCGTGTCATTATTCACATCGTGTGTATCAATGTATCGAAGACGAGCAGCATCTGCAGAAACATAAGTCATTTTATTGAAAAGATATCCTCGATTATATTGAAGCAATACGTCTATACGACTGTTCATATCAGCCGCTCCAATAACAATTAAATCTAGATTTGAATCGTTATTATAATCATTCAAAGTTATATAAATTGGATGAGAATTGATATTCTGTATAAATTGATCTGCGAATCTGCCATCACCATATCCAAAAAATATGCTTATGCCAGAGCTACTACTACTCATAACTACGATGTCTAATATATTATCATTATTAACATCGGCAATGATTGCTTTCCCTGGAGTAGAACCGAATGCATATGTTGCCCGATTTGTAAAAGATCCATTTCCAATTCCTAGTAAAACTGTCATGTCATTAGTACTCAAGTTAATAACTATTATATCCAGTATTGTGTCATTATTTAAATCATCAATTCCTATATAAAATGGATGAACGCCAGCCTCAAACGCTGCTGTATCTAAGAATGAACAATTTCCAAGTCCAAGAAGAATTCTTATACTTTGGTAATTCACTGAAACTACGATATCTAATATTGAATCTTTATTCAGGTCAGCAATTGCCATTGCTTGCGTACCTGGAAGAGGTTTGTAAAATAACTGATTTGCTACGGATCCATTACCATATCCTAGTAAAATACTCATATCCTGACTACCAGAATTGAGAACAACTATATCTGAATAATTGTCGTTATTAATGTCAATAACGACTAAATTAGTTGAATCATTACCAACTTTATATATTGATACAAAACTCAAAGATCCATTTCCTAATCCAAGAAGAGTGCTGACATAACTTTCCGGCCAGAGAAGTGAAAGTACCACAACATCCATAAAATGATCATTATTCAAATCTGCAACAGCCAATTTAGATGAGTAACCGCCAACAACATATGATAATTTAGAAACAATAAAACCATATTCATCTCTAAGATAAATACTGATTTTATCACTATCATAATCACTCATGATCATGTCCAAATGATTATCGTTGTTCAAGTCACAAGTAATTGCATCCGTTAGATTTAAATCGATCGAATACGATGTTGACATATAAAATCCTTCGAATTTACCGATCATAATGTCTAAAGAACCAGTATCATTATTTACCGTAACAATGTCAATTCGATTATCTTTATTAATATCACTCATAGCAAATGAAATTGAAGAAGTTGAACCAGTTGAATACGTTCTTGACAATATAAAAGTACCATCGTTTTTGCCTAATAAAACAACTATATTATTAATACCTTTATTAGTAATAATTAAATCAAACAAATTATCTTGATTTACATGATTAGTACCAATACAATACGGAGAACTATTATTATCAAATTTATATGCTGTTGATATGTTGAAAGTTTTATTTCCATTATTTAATAAAATAATAATTGTATTCGTTCCAGAATTCGCAACAGCTATATCAAGAAACTGATCATTATTAAAATCAGCAGCAGCGATCGAAAGTGGATGAGAACCATGACCCATTGATATAATCATTTGATCTGAAAATTTCTTATTCATTCCAAAAAAAATACCAATAGTATCTGTTCCATAATTAGCAACGATAATATCTAAATGCATATCATTATCAATATCACCCACAACTAACGATGATGGATAAGAATCATAACCAGTCGAATATATGAGAGGATTCATAAATTCTTTATCTCCATATCCATATAAAATGCCAATACTATGAGTACCATAATTAGCAGTAATTATATCAAGATATGTATCATTATTTAAATCTTCTATAACAAGAAAAATTGGATGAGATGAACCAATTGAATATTTTAATTGATTAGCAAATAATCCATTTCCCAAATTAAGAAAAATACCAACATTATTACCAGCAAAATTTGCTACTGCAATATCTATATGTAGATCCTTGTTAAAATCACCTATTGCAACCATATAAGGTTTTGAATGAATATCAGTTGAATATTGAATTTGTTTTGTAAAATAACCAGTTCCATCTCCTTTATAAATCGCAATATTATCAACAAGACGATTAACAACAACCATATCAATCAATTTATCACCATCAAAATCAGCTAATGCAACTCCTCGTGGGCCATAATTATACTCAATTATTGGTTCAGTTAATCTTTTAAAATTCATTTGACATAATGCAACTAAAATAATATTAAGATTATTTATTTATGTTTAGTTTTTACTCGTACCTTCTGGTTTTGGTGCATTATAATAAACAACGAGTGTACTGATAATTATGGAAATACTTGTAAATATTGCGAATAGAGAAGAAAATTGAATTGATCTCGATATTCTTTAAACAAAATGTAATTATAGAAGAATTTTCTTATATCTTACTTAGTTAATTTTGGCGACGCTGATATTGAAATATCGTCAGTTTCTGGTGTATTTTCATCAGTATCAGGATTGATATTTTCCATTTATAATAATCAAAAGAAATGAATCAACATGAAATGAGATATAATATTAAGATAGAATATACGAACGATCGACTTTGACAAACGCAATAAAAAAACGAAATGAGCGTATATGAAGCATTTTCTTGTCTTTATTGGTCAGGTCATCAAGACATTTAACCTAGATCAAATGTAACTGATTTTTTCATTCTGTACGTACATATTTTATAAATTTACTCAATATCTCTAGATATAAACAGATGAAAAAGAATTTAATAGTAAATTAACCATTTGAGTTCTCATGTCAAACACTTTTGAAATTCGTTGTAATATCAATGATTAGGTTCAAAATGATTCGATCTTTAGTGTTAGTTTGCCTTGTGTTGCATATAGTATATAATGTTCATATCGTACAGACGAACCAAAATCTCATAGATGGAATCAATGATATTATATTTGTAACACATAGCGATGTCTTACATAAATCATAGAAAAGCAAACGAGAACGAGTATAATATGACCTTTTTTGCAAAGTAGTGAAGCCTTTTCACATGAATACATAACGCGTTTTCCTCGGATGCTGCTGTAGAACATAAAATGGTAATATAACAATTCACATTTCATACATTCAGACAACAAGCTTTAGATAAATCAAATGAATATCGAAACAAACACTGTGTACCTGCAATGCAATTACATGATGAATTAAACAACAAAGACGACAAATCCGTTACTAAGCGATAAAATGAAATGATTAATTATGATTGGAACAATCCAGATTCTTCATCTGGAACTGAATATTTCATTCAGGTCGTTTGGGAAACTTCAACACGTTTAGATACTTAGCGGTAGAGTTATATCAGCAAGGAACAATTTGCATATTTATGTTGTTGCAAATTATTTTTCTGGTGATAATAGTCGTGACAAATATGAAGAAAATGTGTTACCCTTATATTAAGCTAATGTTTAATCATTTGGAGGACGTCTTCTTTCCATTTAGATATCAATAAAAAAAAACATCTAAAATAGTATCAAAGGAAAAATGGATAAAAGCACATTGATATCACAAGTTTTTTTTTCCTTATAACAGAAAGAAAATAAAAAGCAAACGATGAATGTTTATCATTCTTATCGATAGACATTTACTGTATGAAAAAACGACTCGGTTTTATATTTATGATGATATTTTTGCCTAATAGTCTTTTTCAAACAAATTATCCTTGAAATGAATAACAAAAGCTAGATGAAATGTAGAATGACAATAAAGACAAAAAATATCAACGATCAAATTAATTTTTCATAATAGATTAGATTAACAAAACGAAGAATTACGTGTAATATCATTCGAAAGTCAAAAGAAATAGAAATCTATTCATTTTTTCCTCAGAAAATGAAAAATAGTTACTTTTATTTCACCTTGTTTTGTAGGAGTAAAAAATGCACATTATTCTGTTCGTTTTTCTCAATAATATTTATTCCGAACAAATGAAACTGATTGATTTTGGTAAAGAGAAAATATAATTTACGAGTTCAACGAATAATTCATTTGATTCATAACGAATAAATACGACAAAGACATGTCGAAAAAGGTATTTATTTCTATGTTGTGTTCCGCGTTACTCTCTTACAATTTTCGTTTTATTCAAAACAAACTATTCAACACACATTTCTTCCGAGACATTGAAACGATTAATTGCTTTGAATGCAATATGAGAAATGTTGGAAAATCCATTCTGAGTCTTTTTATTTCTCTTCTAAAACAAACATTTCATTTCTTATTTCTGAAATGACGCATTTCGAATCTTTATCAGATGAATTCTTACTTTTGATCTTTCGTTATTTACACAAATTTCATCTTCTTTATGAATTTGATAAATTTAACCAAAGATTTCAATTATATCAAATTCATATTGATCTGACGAAGAAAAACTTTCCTTCTTATCAATCTTTTCGATTATTTTATAAAGAATTACTTCGTAACAATTTTTCATTATATTCAATTCTATTTATCATTTGCCCTTGAAGAACTCGTGTAAGAAATCCCGACCAAATACAAATCCAACTTGTTATTGATGACCAGGAAAGATATATCGAACATGGGTTTTGAAATGAACATTGATTTAAGACAAAAATATTGAGTAAATTACTGACAGTACCAAATAATAACAGAAACGTTGTCACATGACAGTTGATTTGTGTTGTTACGTAAATAATGACTTCACTGTCATTTGACATTGTGATGATTTAATCGTTTTGTTTTTTCCAATTCAATATGAAGAGTTGCTCTCTCTTTTGAATACAAGTATAAAATCAAATGGAGTCATTGTGATATTAGCCTTTCAAGTTACAAATAAAGAGAGAAATGTTGTTTTCACGCATCAATAAAGTAGTGAATGCGTCGCATCTGACTATTTGGATGAAAGCGGCTTTTAACGAGTTAATGGTGGTGAATTTGCTTCGACAAGTATAATTATGTTGCTTTTATAAGAAGTCATGGTGATTCAAAAATGTGTTCTCCATATGAGAACTGAGACATTTTCTCCAGTCTTTGTTATTACAGAAGTTAAAATGTCCACAATTATTCGAAATCTCATATAAGAATCAATCTTGTGGGTGAGAATGAAGATGTGGACATTTACCTTTTTTACAACATATAGGAAAGCAAACAAGATCAAAGAATACTGATTCAGTAGACTTGACCCAAATTGAAAGGGATCGCTTCATCTGAAAATTTCTAACAAATAGCCAAGATACCTGTTTTTCAAAATGACAACATTTCTTTGATATTTACGCACATAATTCATACATGTCATGTTTACCATTGTTTTACTAGTCTTCTGTGTTTAAATAATTGTTACTGATATCATATATATATATATATATATATAAATACGGAAAATGATGCGTGTTGCAAAGAATGTATGAGAGATATAAGCAATATCGAGTTCGAGTTTTTACTCTTCGATAGTCCTTTTGATTAGTTACAAAAACAAACATGTAGGGAGATCAAAAAACGGCTGATCATCCGCAAAATATCTCAGTTGTGTAAACTTTGAAGATTTAGTTTTAATTCCACGTATCATCGAGCAAATCAAGTGGTGCCAATGATTCGATATAAGGAATTCTTTTGTTAACTGATGGTGAAGCTGTTTTTTGACTCTTTAGAAATTGGTCAAATCTTAATTTTAAATCATTGATAAATATGTTCGCGTGTTTAATCTCTTCATTAAGTTGTTGAGAAAGAGTTGATAGTAGATTCTGAGTTTCTATTTTTGTATTTTCTAAGAACGTGTTGAGTATTTCCGGATCGAACTGATTCGAGTTATGTTGATCCTGTTCATCTGTAGATTTACTCGATCTTAGACTTTCTAAATCACTGATCAGATTACTCAATTGTTGTTGTTTGTCGATTAAATCTTGAAGTTTATTTCGAAGTTGATTTTGTTCTTCAACAAATTGAGTCATATTTGCTTTCACAAAGTTTGTAACTAATTGATTGATTACATTCTGATCATTAATTTCCATTTCTGCAAGCTTTTTCTGAAAATTAGCATATTCTTCAGTAATATTTGTTAATGAGTTTTGTAATTGATAAATTTGTTCAAGAATATTCGTTGTCAACGTATTTGATTGATCAATTTGCGATGATTTCAATTTCAATTCTTCTTTAATCAATTGTAATTGTTGAAGAACTTCTGTCGAGTTATTTGTATTGATCCAATTAATTGTTTGATTGAGTTCTTGACTCAATTGATCGAGTTTGTTCGCATGACCAACAATGTCGTTTTGTGTTTGGTCGAGACGTAAACTCAGATCTTTCATAACATTCGGTTGAATTAATAGATTTCGAATTTCAATGAGATCTTGATTGAGAGAAGGAATTTGATTAAGAAGAGATAGAGCCTGATGAATTTCATCTAGTTGATCTTTGACATTGTCAAGACGCCTTGCAAAAATCTCGAGTTTATTAAGATCAGAATGACGATCATTGACAATTTGTTCAATATATTGAGATAATTGTTCGAGCGTGTTCTGTTGAAGAGAAAGATTTTGAATGAAGATTGTATGTTGTTGTTGTTGCTCAGATATTTCTGTGATTTTCTCATCCAGTTCAGCGTTTGTTTTGTCTACTTTATTTTTATATTTGTTCAGTTCTATATGATATTGATTGAATTGATTGTCTAATTTGCTGATGTCTTCGTCAAGTCTGCTTTTGTCGTCACCATGTTTTTCTTCACATTGTCTGACACGTCCGAGCAGCGTGTCATGTTCTTGTTTCAGTTCCTTATAGCTTTTCTCAAGCTGCTCAATCCGACGGAGTTGAGCTCTGAAATAAAATTTCTTATTTTGTCAAAAATGATGTTTTTCATCTTCGTTACTGTGGTGTAGATTCTTTCAGATGTTCATCTACCAGTCCCTAAAAGAAAAATTGAAATTCCGAATGAAAATATTTTCGGTATTTAACGATTTTACCTTAATAAAACTTTGTCTATTGTATAATTCCAATTCACGAACTTTCTTAGCATGTGTCGCCTTTATATAGAAAAGAATGTGCATGTTAGACGAACTTCAAACACAATTGAGAATACTTCGACTTGACGATACAATCTCGCCTTCTCTTTATCAGTTTGTTCGGCTTCTTTCCGACGATCAGCTACAATCCGTCGATTGATATATTCACATCTACGAGAAATTCGCCACTGTTATCAAATAACTTAAAACAGAATCTTCCATACTCTTCGAGAAGTTGATCGACAAACTGTTGCGCAAATGGTATTGCGTGTTGTCGATTATTAACATGCCGTGTTTGCATTGCTACAACAGGTTCATTGTCTGTTGGAAGCTTTCCTCACGAATATCAAATCTTTCTTTGAAAAATAAATCAATTAATGATGTACTCACATATTTTGCCTTTCGTAATCGTTCTTCGAGCAATTTTGTATATCGCTTTGTATCGGGTGGTTCACTGGATGCAACAGTTCGTCTTCATTAATCGAATAGAGAAATGAACGAGTGTGAGAAAGAAAAACTTACGCAGATTGTGTATGTCGTCGTCGACGACGTCGTTCTGTTCGTTCTTTATCAGAATTGGACATCTTAAAGCTAAGCCTATTTTGCTGATTGGTAAATATCTGAAAAAAGAAATGAAGCAGAAAACTTGGAAAAATGTATTTCTTAACAACAATGGATTTTGCATTTATTTTCAATTCGAGTTTTTTCACGTTTAAGTAAGTCATCATATTCTTCCGATGTTCCCAATCGATAACCATACAAGTTAGCATCCATCCAAGATAAAGGATTTTGAGGAACAATCTCACCATTTTCATTTCGAATGGAAATACCTGGTTTTTGATAGAAATCGTAAAGATACCATGGAGACAAATTTTCGTCAGTATTCATATTACTCAATGGTGTATATGGTAAATTTTTATATTCATGTAAGTTCATTCGTCGTAGGACTTTCGAAGTTAAATTAGGCTTTGCACAACAGATTAGTTCAACTAGATTTTTAGCAAGATCATTTGTCTCGATGCCAGAGAAAATTTTGATGTCTTCGCTGTTTTTGTCAAGAATTGTTTGCACTACGAATGCAACACCAAATTGAGCAACGTATCTCGAAGGAGATTCAATCGACAATTGTTTTGTTTCACTTGAATCATCAACTTTGTTTTTACGACGAAAACAACGACATATACGGAGACAATATCGACAAAATGTGGGTGGTTCATCGAATTTTGATTTTAACCGTAACAGTTGTTCTTCATAACGATCAGCAAGTTCACGAGCTATTCGACGTGCTAAATCAGTCAATTCGAAAATATCTCGATCTTCGATAAGACTTGATATTCTTGTTTGATATTTGTCGTATTCATGCTTCTTTAGGAGAGAACTTATTCCCTTTGCTGCTGTACTGACAACTGTGTTGCCTACGGGTATCACGCCACCTATGATATCACTTAGTAATCCTAAACCATCGGCTATACTAAATTTTTACAAAATGCATTTCTTGGTGTCAGAAGATATTTAACTTACTTCGATTCAGTACCTGTTCGATCATGTTTCACTATAGGCTCATTATCACCATCTCCACTTGTAACTGCCATTGCCGTAAATTTATGCGAAAGAGACGATCGCATCTTTGTATAGAAGATTTTTCGATTATTATTTACGTCATTAATAAAAAGCTGCTCATCAAGTTTAATTTCATGTCGATTAGTATTCATCTTTTGTAAGTCAACCAATTTGCTCACTAAAAGTGAGACTAGTAAGTTTTTCATTTCTTCACTGTTCATTTGAAATATATTTTCGAACTTTTCTGGTAGTGTAGTCGTTTGCTTCTCTTTAAATTCTCGTACTTCATCTAATATATGTTGCCAAGCATTCTCAATCTCAGGAGATTGATCAAGTGCATCGTTGAATTGATCGAGATTGGTCATGGCTGCTGCAGCATGTTTTTGATTTTTGTGTAAAGTGCAAAGAACAGCGAAAGAAAGACCTGAATGAATATCGTTTCGACCTTTGCCGATTGCTTGTTCGCAAAAATGCATTATTTTACAATATGTTTTCTTAGGCATTGATTCACTGTTTAGATCTTGTGATAATCTAAATTTTTGATCCAGTAGTAAAGCATTAATAAGATAGCATTCATGTGATAAATTGGATTGAGTCTTCTCCATGGATGAAAATTGTTCTATTAAGAACTATAAAGGAAAAGTCGAATACTAACAAAGCTCTCCTGAGAATAGGTTAAAATATATAATATATTGTTTATATTTGTTGATTTCGATTAATCTCTTATAGTTATATCGATTAAATTCTCTCGGTTATTTAAACGAAGGAAACTTTGTTCAAATTCGATATTATATAAATCTATGAAAGAGTTCAGGTAACAAAATAGATCTTACCTCATAATAATGTTTCAGAGTAGACAAATCAGTGTCCATTCGTTCCAATTGCAACGCCAGTCGTTTATCACGAATACACGCATTCAATTCACCCATTTTATAATGCAGTTCTCCTCGTTCGTATAATATGTCTGATCGATGTGGAACTAGTTGATGAGTTCTTGTTAAATAGTATAATGCTTGGGAATGCCCGTCATCATCGTGACTATGCAACATCCCAAGACGAAATAAAGCTTTTGTATAACTTCCATCTTGTTTGAGTATATCTTCAAACATTTTTTTGGCAAGATCAACTTTACCAGAGGCATAGTGAGTTAAACCAATATAGAATAAAGTTTCGATTTGATCCTTCTTTTTCAACGCACACTGCAAGGCTTGATTGAAATGTTCCAAAGCGTCAGAATACTCATGTAATTCATACTCAGCGATACCATAATAAAAATAACTATGAAATGTTACTGTTACTGAATCACACTCATTATGACATATCTCTTTCAATTTATCAAATGTTGTCTGAGCTTCCTTATACTGGTTGTCAGACATTTGGGCTCGTGCCAAACAGTATATGTAATATTTGATTGATTGAGAGCATAGATTGTTTGCATCTGTAATATCTCTCAATGCTTTTTCGTGTTGTTTAATCTCGCTATACACGAGACCTCGACTTAAATATCCTTTATGAACACGAGTATCATTCTGATTGCATCGAATATAAGTAGTATAATCAATGAGAGCTTCAGTATATCGGCCGATTAATTGATAGGCAAAGGCGCGTTTGTAATTTACTCTACCATCAGAATACTGGGATGGAAATTCCAATGCTTGATCAAAATCTCCAATGGCACGATGAATTTCAATGTAATCACCTAGCTCAAGACGAGCACATCCACAATAATACAGCGATTGCAAAGTGGCAGGTGATATTGCATTGAAAATAGCTACAGCGGTACGATAATCACCTTCTAGCGCTCTCTGACGACCACGTTGAATTTGTTTAGCTTCCTAAATAGACATTCATCTTGAGGGTGTGAGTGCAAAACTTTATTAGCTTAAAACTCGAAGATGTTTAATACTCGAATAAATTAAAGATTTCTACACTAATCCATTTTTTCTACCTGACTCGCTTCTCTGGACTGGAACGTCGATTGTACTGTAGTTGGTGGATGAGTTTTCTCCATTAATATAACATCATCTTGATCCTTTGCAGGTTGCAACTAAAAAAACATGCTTTTATAGACTAATTCGTAAATCACTTTCGCACGTTGACAAACAAAAGTTACTACTATCACGATCAGAGTACTATAAGTTAAAAGATTAGCGGCATTTATAGTCATTTGTTCGTACTAGATAACCCCATTATGCACGATAAAATCTGCGGAAACGTTTTCAGCACGAGGACACGAAAAAAAGAGAATGCAGTGCTATTTTTCTTATGATAATTTGTAAAAACGATCTTACTCGCTTATCTGAGAGATCTTCATTTGTTTCTGTCTTCGGTTTATTCCTGCTTGACGAGACTTTTTTGGTTCGACTCTCAATCATGATTTGAATTTTCCAGATCGAATAACAGCCGTTAAATATTCGTATAAATATGTGTATTCGCTTGCTGTATGAAGCTAATCAAGTTTCTAAAAACATCAAATCGTTGCACATACAAATAGGACAAAATACTCCCAAGAAATGAAGTATTTTTTATAAGTTGGTTTTTTCCTTTTTCAAACATACGATGCAAAGTATTTTACATGCTTTTTATAATAAAAGTCAACAGTAAATATATTCTCTCTTCGATTACTGCAAATGATTTCTTTCCGAATCTAACAAATTATAAATCTTAATAATATATGTGATTACTTTAGACAATGGGAAAGCAATCATTATCAAAAGGGAAAATAGTAAAGAGATTACGGTGAAGAGAAGAGATTTGTCCTACATTACATAATCTTAAAAGCTTTGAAGAATTGATATTCATGTGCACTTAAGAAGTGACCCACTTCGTCAAGCGAAAAAACAATCATCACTGAGAATAAGAGCGCAGGCGCGAGCATAAATGATAGTGAATCTTATCTTCTTAGTCGTATTAGTACCATCAATCCTCACCTTCACTTACAGCCCCAGTTAATACTGACGCAGTCAAAGACTCCAACTTAATAGATTGCTTTTCAAAACCTTCAAGTAACTCCGTAGTCCATTTCTCTTTATATCGCTAATTCGATTCCACTATTTACCAATTATTTTTATCAGATCAAAAAGACTATACGATAAGATTCTCAGCAGGATCGAGATGCGTTATGAAAGTTCTTTTCATTTTTAATCACATCCTCGCATTACTTCACTCAGACTCTTATCGTCAAATTTTAAGTCTTCATCTTTTTTCTTTCCAACTTGCAACTTTTGCAAAACACAAAAATACTTTTTTTTAATAACGTATGTGATTCAATGTCAATATTTTGCGAGTGAAACATGGAGTTTGTATGAACTCTAAAGCGAAAAAATACACGTATTTACTGAGATCATTACACATTTCGACTCATTGAATTTACCGAGAAAAATCGCTGCAAGATTTCAAGGTAAGCGTTATTTCAGTCTTGTTCCTATACTTTACTTTCTGGAAATATTCTTAAAGACAAAACAATTATAAGTCTCAAATTCTTGATAATAACCTGATTTTTAAGTTAGAGATGTCGATAGATGTTGGCTGCTATAAAAATATTTCGAATTTCAAATATATTTATTATCAAAATAGGCCTCTCACACTACCGAATCGGTTTTTATCTACTCAAAAAGTGAGTACACTACTAGAATCGGTCAGTGTGGCCGTCCGGCCGTTTACACAATAGCTTTCGATGGAAGAGTCAGATTGAGCTGAAATTTTCTACGTAGCACCATCTCATCAATATCTCAGTCGAGTTCGAAGATGAGCCCAATCGGCTGTACCCTTTCTGACTTTCAGTGCAGTTTCTATATAAAAAGTTCCGTATCTGTGTATTTGTTGAGCTTTTCGTTTCGCATTTCATCCCTGTATCAGCTACGGTCATCGAAATTTCTGTGCTGGTTCCTTACACTCACGAAAACATGAAGAACATGTTCACTAATTAGTTCAGAGGTAGGTATGGGTGATCTGTATGTGATCTATGGGTGGAGTTTCATCCAGGCAGTTTCGCGTTAGAAAAAGGTACGAAAAGCTTAGCGGAGCTGCCGTGAGTGGATGGAAACGTCGGAAGAGAGTTACTAGACCAATGGTTCGGGTGAGGGTGAAATTTCACCCAGGTGCTTATATGGTTAAAAACGCTGCAAAAAATTTTCATGCTGCTCGCCTAGACCAAGGGAACGTCGGTTGAATCTGAAAACACGGGTGATGACGGTGGATGTGAATGACCTGGGTGTGATCTGGGTGAAATTTCACCCACGGGATTGTGCAACCGGAAAGGACACCAAACCTGTCATACTAATTACTTCCGGAGGGGCAGAGAAGCATAGATAGGGTTTCGAGAGGCTATTAAAGAGATAGATGGGAGTAGTATAGAAATCGTTAATTCGATTCGAGTTTTAAAACTTTCATTCGAATTCTAAATCTTTCAGCTTAGAATTCGAGCACTCGAGTTTTAAACTTATAAATCTATAATTCGAAGTTTCGAGATATCCGCTTACCAACTCGTCAGTGATTAATCGTAAATCGTAGAATGACTAACTATTAACTATTATGTAATAGTTAATTAGATATTTACCAAGCAATTACTTATTATCAATCAACCGACTATCAAGTAATCGGCATCTGAATATTAAATACTACATAATCATTTATTAACTATAAGACGATCACTTATCAGCAACTAACGGTAACGAATGCCGTTCACATTGACCCTGGCTGTCCCGTTGTAGGCTGCACCCACTCTCTCAGCCACACCCACATCCTCACCCTCACCCTCACCCACACCCATACCCTCAATGAGAGTGAATGTGAGCTGATGGACTTACGTGAAATTCATTCAAACTATCTTTGAATGCATTGTCACTGACAAGCCATTCTAGATATGCTGGATGCTGCAAAGTGTGCAAATCCGCTCAAAACACGATTATTCTTGAAATTTGTGCTTCACTTGAAGACAATCAATATGAGTGATATTGCACTAAGAACAGATTTCAATTACTTCAGTGTTGTAGTATACTGAAAGAGTGAACGCATCATTGGAGCTATAGTCAGTGTCCTTGCTACCACTGGTCTACACGATGACTTCTGAAAAGTTAATTTCATTGCGATGAAATTCCCAATGATGTATTGTTACATCAGAATCTAGCTGGAATTCGATAATATGAGTGATTGGACGACTGATCGCTAAGTTGTCGAAAAGTGCACCGACGGACATTTCGTTGCAAAATTAATTAATCGTAAGATTAGAACAAGATATAGGTGGACGACGAGAGAAATACATATTATGAAAAAATATCTATGCTTGTATACAATTAAGAAAATCCGAAGTGACTTATCAGGTATTAGCCAAGAAAGCCTGCGCACCGTCGAGTAGAATAATTTTTATGAGTACTTTTTCACTTTACGAGTTCTACGTAAAGACTTTCGAATTCTTGACACATAAAGAAACAACTGTTAGTATTCTACTCTACATATATGTATATACAACAAAGTAGGAAGGCTAAGTGGTAAGCTGATTGATCGAAAAGATCATGATCGCGCGGTGGTCTCGATTTTGTAAGAGAAACTCCTGAACTTTCATCCTAAAAAATCAACGTGTTTCGAAAACTATGAATACATTCATGGACTATGTCTCAGAGTCGAAGACTACCTGTACTACTATTTGATCTATAATACTGAAGAATCACTTAACAGGACAAAGGGAATGCAATTCTGTTTGATGCTCGATAAAATAATGTTTTCATTCTAAAGGCTTTTGGGCATGTTCTTGTGAGAGTTTAATATGTATTTTACTCTTTGGTACTTTTATAATATCTTGGCTTATATCTTTTCAGATTCGCTAGTTTTTGTTTGAAATACTACCATAATACTAGGTTTCATTTCATAACACCAAAGGGATAGTTAACGATACTGTAGCTTCTGTATTACGTAATTAAATAAAATATATATAGATGTATCAAGCAGTGACACATAGTTTTTCAATGTAAATTAATCATAGTATACATGTGTGATAAACCAGCAGTGTGCGAAAAATGACTGCTAATTATTTTCTTCTGACTTTTTATGTATTCCATCTGATACACTTTTTAAAGTACACATCACTTTCGGATAAAGTCCGAAGTTTTCGCATTTGTTTCCTTAGAAATCTCTCTAGGATCTTATTTTTCCTCTTTTCTTTAGCTTCTATATATTTTTGTCAACGGCATTACTATGCATTCATTATAAAATTACATTTAGGGGCATTCAAGTTTTTTCAAAAAAAAGAAGGTGGGAGGTGAAGAGTCTTTTATGCCGTTTTCTTGTGTCTACACACAAAACAGACAAAAGCAGCTTCTCTCCATACATTACGCAATAGAATTTGAACCTCTATCCTAATTCTAACATAACTATGAGATGTGCCCATCTATTTTAGATTTTCTATTCCAGTGCATATAATTGTCGATAAAACATGTCCTCAGCTACAAAATCCAAATCAGTACATAGTATGAACCCGCCAGTAACGGGGTATTCAGCAAAATCAACGGTAAAGCTAAGTCAATTTTATATGGCTTGTCGAAATAATGATATTGATGTTGTCACTGCTATGTTACCAACACTAACATTAGAAGAGATTGATCAAATAGAACCAAATGGTTCGACAGCTTTACATGCTGCAACATATTATGGAAATAAAGAAATAGTCAAGATGCTTCTAGCAAAAGGTGCTCAACGCACGATCAGAAATCGTTATGACAGTACACCGTTTCATGAAGCGCAAACCGATGAAATAAAAAAGCTGTTTCAACGTTCGGATGCCACCGGATCAGCAACGAAAGATCGATTTGTAGGTAAAAAGGGTTCGTCCTATGAATGGATCTTTGTCCAAAATGATCCAGCAAGTTATGCATCGTTCAATCGTGAAAGTCTAATGAAATGTCGAAAAGATGAAGAATTTCATCGACTATGTCGTGGAATTCGACAACAATATATTAATGAGAATGGTCCTTTGGCTAGTGTTGAAGGCATTGATATAATTCGTTCATATTTCGATAGAGCGATGCAAATTAATGATTCGAAGCAAGTTGTTCGTGCTTATACAGCAGAAACAGGTTTTTACCGTCGACTCAATGAGGATCTTTCCCAAATGCCAACACACTGGTCAGGAACAAGACACGAGCGAAGTATGATCTCGATATTGATGTTTCATCCTGAACTTCAACAATATACGTACATGGGTGAAACACATCGTGGAATGATGATATCGTCGGAAGAATTGAAAGAGTATGTTGTTGGTACCGTATTCATGAATAAGACATTTCTAAGTACGTCAAAAGATAAAAAGCAAACTGAAAAGTTTATTACATACAGTGAATCCTCGACAAAATTGAAAGTTGTTTGTAAATATCTAATCAAGCATGAGGGAACAGCCTTAGATATTGAAGCTATTTCTGAATTTGAGCATGAGAGAGAAGTTCTCATACTTCCCTATGCTTCATTCAAAGTCAAAAGTATTCAGAAATCTACTGGAATAAATAATGACATAACTCAAATCGATGTAGAAGAAATAGAAGAGCAAGTCAAATGGACAAAGAAAAGCTCGTTCCATTCTTCACACAGTCATGTTTCAGCTAAGAAAAAGACCAATACAAATACGAATGATGAGGATGATAGTTATCAAAAAATGTTCAAAGATGCACAAGAGAATGGTAAAATTGACCCAGCTGATTTAGCTAAATGGACGAAAACTAGTTTTGGTACTGATTCTGGTGCAGATACATATGCAAAAATATGGAATGATGCAAAGAAAGGTAAATTTAGTAAAAGTGATGTGGCAAAATGGAAAAAGCAAAGTGGTGCTGTTTCGAATGGCGATGATTTGAACGATTCTGATTTGGATAGTATTGATGGTGAAAATGATCCATCTGTTTTTACCGCATCGAATGAACAAAGTTACGCTACAAGCAAAAAGTTTAGTTCAAAGGAACCATTTGACATGAAAAAGTTCATGTCACAGATTGATGAAGATAGTGATGGTTAAAACAATACAAGACCAAAGAAAACTTTGTATCTTATGAGGGTATTTTTTTCTTACCTCGTCCATCTATATCCATAAGACGTTTGTTTTCAATTTTGCATTTTTATTAAAATCAAACTCGATAAAAATTCGTTAGAAATTGTTTCTTCATTATACTTATATGCTTCTGCCCAGATGGATGAATCCGACAGAATGCTATAGTATCCGTAGAGAGACAAAATCACATTCAATTCCATCGTGTCTCGGTCTGATAGGTACGGAAGACCATCGCCCATGTAGAAAAAAGAAGCAAAACACCCGATGATAATCGATTTTTTCGGAAGAATCCATAAAATCAGATTATATCCCAAAATTCTGATTAAATACGAGGAAAAATAGATTACTAACGATTATCTCAGAAGTAATCTGTTAAAATCGGTCAAAAACTCCCATAAACGTGATTTCCACAGATTTTGAGCATAAAAATTGTTTTTCATCGATTATTTTGTCCGAGAAAATTGATTTTAACTTTAAAAAGTCATCATAAAATTGATTGTAATCGATTTTAATCATAACTAGAGCGCTGTCAGACTTTGACCGCCTGCGAAATACGGTGCGCTGCGTTTCGATCATTACTTCAAGCTATCCGAATGACTGAATGGCGTAGTTGTAAAACCGTTCTTTTTTGAAAACTAAAACCTCTATGAACGAAAATGTAGAAATAGACGAGGTCGCTGCATTGATTGATTAGCTTTTCAACTAATCATAACAGAATAGAAACTATCTTTGTTCGCGCCTACTTCTATTTTAATTCTCTTGACAATGTAAAACATCTTTGCCCGACTTTACCGACTTATGCGGAATTTATTTTGGGTAAACGGAGTTTCATATTGAAAATCTAACCAAAGATATATCTTGCTCAAGTCTTTAGCTATCTGAGGGTGTTAGTAGCATAGTGCAGTTTCGCTCTATCGTTTAGATCACCGTGTCACTAATGCTTGTCTAGAAGGAAATATAATACTAACTAGACAGCATTCATGCTTCGCCTTAATGCAGAATACGGCGCGACGAGTTTGGGGGAACATAGGAGGAAGTGTATGCTATTGAACATTTATTTTCCAGTTAGTGTACAAGTCGATACTTCCTGAGATCGTTGGAAATATTTTTCGGCTAATACAGAGAGCTTTTTATAGGAGAAAATTAAATAAAAGATTCGCGTAAAACGTTGTATAATGATTTCGCTGCATTAAATCATCGTTTTATCGACTAATCATAAAATACAAACAAAGTGTTAGGTGGCCCTCTTCAGAGAGTTACTTCACGTTTAATCTATCTTCTTACACATATACACACGTATTTATACATATAGAAAAACGAGAGAGTTTAGAGAGAAAGTAGAGAGATAGAAAAGAGCGGATCGGATGGATCTTCTCTCTCCGCTGACATCTCCCTCTCCCCAGAAAAAATTGTGTCCGCACACTTGTACAACAAAATTCTCGAAACCACGTGATGATACCGAAGAAAAGAAAAAAATAGTCACTATGGCCAGAGACAAAAAAATAAAAAACTTTTCATTGTTTGAAACCATTGTCTTGATGCTTCCACTTTCGCGTGAATAATCCATCGGTTGCTCCATTTGATGACCTTGCCATTTCCACCGATCGATAAGTTCCTAACTGAATGTAAGTAGGCATCTTGCCGTTGACATCGGCCATGTTGTCGTCTGTCGATTCCGATTTCGTTGATCTAGATATAAATAGAATGAATTCATTGGCTGATCTGATGACCTATCTGTTGTTGTTTTTCCGTTTGTTTGTTTTTCCAGGTTGTCTCCGATGTGTGAGGTTTCCGATTGTTTTTCATCATTTTTTTTTTTTTGTGTGTGTGTATTTCGTGTTCATCATCCCCATCTCTTGAAGTATTGAGAACGAGAGAAATAATTGATTTTCACTAATCCTCTCGCTCTTTCTTCTTGTTCCTTCGATTTAAAACCGATGATCACTTCCAGCTTCTTATGATCGATATTGAGTTGATGACTGGTGTAGATTTCGTCGTCGGCGAGTTGAGCACGTATCTTGTGGTAATCGTATCGATAATAAATCGGCCTTTTCATTCTTCTTTGGAAATCCGGGCGTGTCCTTCGTTTTTCTTTTAGTTTCTCGTTCTTCCGTCGTTGTCGTTCGGCTTTTGATCGTGTTGGTGCTGCTGGTACGGGTACTACTGGTGTTGCTGCTGCTGGTACGGGTACTACTGGTGTTGCTTGTTGCATCGTTCTTAATTCGGATTTTGATTCGAGTTCGATTTCCATGTCGACACCAAGATCGAGATCAACTTCGTCGTCTTCGCTGCTAACGTCGATGTACATGTCGCCGTTGTTTGTCTTCGTCGTCGTCGGTGTAAATGGTGTTTCGTTTGTGGTTGACGTTGCCGTTGTTATTGTTGGATTTTCGTGCGTTCGTTCCGAATACATGTGAAAATAGACCTCGGTGACCGCCGTGCAATCATGTACTGCGTAATTCGTCATATCGATCCGAGTTTGTTGTTCCACCTGTCTATTATAATATTGTTTCTGAAACAATTTATGTTGCCATGTGTTCAATGCCAAGTCCAATCCACAACCCCATGGGTATCGTGTGAATGCTTTGTCAAGGAATTTCTGTAATGCCATTTCAACCGCTGTTTGTAATGAATATTTAATCTTCTTCGTATCTTCGTAATCCACATCATCATCGTCATCATAAAAATCATTGTCACCAGGAGTGTCGAATGATACTTGTGTTGTTCCACGGCTTTCCGTTTCCGGATGCGTGACTTCTTCATCTTCTCGGTCCTGAAATAAAGCTTGTAAGTTCCTGCGTCTTATCTTACCTATTTTCATCCATTCGAATCGATGAAAATCCTTCAATTCGTTCTTCACCGATCCCCAAGTAATTATTTCATTGTCCGAATTGAAAATGATTGACCATAGATGCTTGATTCTGCCGACTAGATGTGATTTTGCATCCGGAAAGTAGAAAGTCTCGAGTAAGATCACCGTTGAATCGTCACTTGAATGTACCATTTCAATTTGTATTAATGCACCTGTATTTCCATCTCCCTCCGATTGAGATTCGGTGTCGACGGTGTATCTTTTCGTTGTTGCGGCCCGACATATCAATTGTTCGATGGTGTCAATGGGTGTTCGATGGTGGATGTGGATGATGTTGATGTTGTGTGTTGGGCGATATTGAGAGTATTGTACTCGTAATCGTTCGTTTTTCTCGAACTTTTTCGCGTTTCTTCTTCGGTTTCGCAATTGTTTTCCTGTTGGTGCTGCTCTTGTGTTTTGTTTGAACGAATCGAGGTTGTACGTGTGTCTAGACATGATGTTTCTCGAAAATGAATTAGTAATCGATCAAAGGTTATATTTTCTTTCTCTTTGAAGATTCCATGTTTTCGTTTTTTTCGTTTCTTTGGATCGTCCATTCCTTTGTTTTTCCTTTCCTGTTGCACTTATATAGACGCGCATCTTTGTATACACGTATAGATGTAAGTGGAATCCCTGGATGTTATCGTCGCATATTTTCTTTCGTGTTCTGTGATGTGGTGAATTCGACCGTGTCGTGTTATTGCCGGACGTTTCCTAGTAACATTGACCACGTCCATATGAG